TTTACAGCTGGCCAAGGTGGGGAGTCTGGAAGGCTCAGGTAGCTCGACCTCAGGCCGCAGTGACAGGCTGGGCCAGCCCCTTCACAATGAACCTGGGGAATCTGTGCTTTTCTACCCCTTCCTGCTCTGATGCCCCAGGCAGGTAGGGAGTCCTGCACCCTGCTCCCAGCTCACCATCTTTTTCTTTGTCCATCCGCACCTTCTTCAGGGCAACAATTTCATCTGTGTGGGTGTCCCGGGCCCGATCTGAAACAGAACCACATACACAACGGTGCCCATCTTAAACTCTCTCACAGCCCCTTGTTGCCACACAGGGGCCTCTTTTACGATTTTCTGAGGGTTCTTTTTCTTCTCTGACAGGCAAATTCCCAACACTCAGTCCTTTCTCCATTCCCAAGATGTGAGATTGTGAATCCTCGTTTGAAATGGGTTTAGAGTTTCCAGTTTTGCTCGAGCTGAAACCTAACAAGGAGCAACTCATGTGGTAGAAGCTCTCCAGGAATCTTTCGCTGGCAGCCCACTGCTCTGTGTTCACTTGTGCAATATTCTCATACCAGTGAAGGTACTCCATAGGGGGATAATGGCTTACAGAGCATTTTGTTGGCTTGTGCAACTTCCAAAATCTTGGCAAAATGACTCACACCCATGGAGCTGCAAGGAGCTTTTGGAAGTTGTGCATTTTACTGATCAGTTTTCTCCACTCCATAGTTTGGATTGCTGACATTAGCAACCTGATGGTTATGCTTGTCTGGTCATGTTGTAAATTTTGTGGAAATCACACCAGGAACTATAAAGTTTGGGAGCAAGCTCTGGCCTGGTCTGGAGTACAGTGCTCACACAGCTATAACTACAGACCCCTCCCCTGTGCTGAGCACTCACACACAATGCCATAGGTGCCCTCGCCAATTCGGTTCAGCTTCTCAAACTCCTTAACGCTCCGGCATCTTCCCAGCTGAAAGACAGAGGAGGAGCTGGTGTGGGGATCCAGAAACTAACAGCTCCCGTAATGAGGAATCTCACTCACACCCGGCAATGAGAAACTGAGAAACTCTCTTTCATCTTCTCACCAAACAGAAAAGCAATCATACACAAATACTTGGGAGTTTTCTGGTGAGCCAAAGGGGATGCACCAATGCCATGGAACCACTCTGAAGTACTGAACACTATGGAAGCTGCCCTAACTATTTCCCCAGCCTAGTGCTCCAGATGACTGCTGGCCGGTAACAAAGGGCCACAGGCCATGCAAACAAACAGCTCTGTGGAGGATCCGCTTCCCAACTCCTGTGTGAGGAAACCTGCCCACAGGTACATTTGTGAGATGCAAGAAGGCACTTCCAGACCAAGGGAAGCTAGCTGACCCACGGCGTTTTGCAGTCTGGGATGAGGACGAAGGTCAAGTGGAGCAACAACACAGAAGAGGTAGCCCACCTTACGGGGAACAGCTGCCTCTTAGAGGTCAGAGCTCGCTCCAGCCATGGTATTCTGGGGTCTTACTGGGGATTCGGTAACCTAAAGCATCACAAATAAGCATTTCTTGGATAGAGAAGGGCTCAGCAAGTTAGGATTCTATTATGCCAGTTCCCAGCTGGCTTCCTCAACAGCCCTGTCCTGGGTCTTGTAACTTTGATACGTGATGCCCTTCCACTGTCCTGAACCTCACTCTGTAGACCAGGCGGACCTGGAACTCACAGAGATCTGCCTGCCTCTGCCTCCTGGGATTAAGGGCGTGCTGCATTCTTTAACCTAGCTCCTCAGCTTCCTCTCGTTTACTCTGCAAGCTCCTTCACAGCGACTTTGTGCTGCCACCTGAGTCTTCGGTGCCATTCCTTGTCAGATCTGCCCAAATTCTGGCTGCACTTCCTGGTCCAAAACAAATGTCAACTCTTCCACCGGAATATACTTCTTTTCTCCAAAATCTCCAGTATTTTGTATCTTTGCTTGTTCTGAGTCCAGGTCTCACTCTCTAGACAGGCTGCCCTCCAACTTGGGGTGCTCACCCTGCCTCCACCGCCTGAGTACCGGGATTACAAGCACGCAGCACAACGCAGGACTCTGACATTCTTGTCTTACGTGCACTTTCTCCCCCTTTAAGAGCGGATTTCGCTACTTCCAGCGCAGTGCTGAGGCCCTCAGGTAGTACACTTAAGTTAATGTGCCTCGGCCTCACAAAGCATAAACAAGTTGTTAAAACTGGGCTGTTGCAAAAGCCTCTTCCCACTGTCTACTGGAGCAGAAATCAGCGGCCCTGTGGTTCCCCATCACGCAGAAGGGACGCTCCAAGAAGGCGGGTGAAGCCAGGTGAGCGCTCCCGGCCGAACCTCCCACTCTCCCCACCCGCGAACGCCACGCCCCACGCCGCGCGGCCCCCGCCCCCAGGATCCCGGCTGCGGATTCCTGCACTCGCCGCAGCTAACTCTACGGCTGACGTTCCCTGCGGTGCCGGGACCTCAAACTTCCACGCGACAGAGCGCTTCGGTCCAGCCCTGCCACACTGCGCCGCCCGAATGGCACCCCGCCGCACCCTGTGTTCTGGAGGCACGGTGAAGAAACCTTCCTTACGGATACACTTCAGTCGGATCTGGTCCGACTCCAGGTCCACCTCCGCCATGGCCGAGCCGGTGCCGCCCTGCCGCCCCCTTCGAGCGCGAAGGCGGAAGCCTCCCCCTCTACGCAGGCGCATAACGTACTTCCGGTTTGTTCTGGCCCTGTCAAACAACGAAAAACCTACCCTAGCTTCTCCTGGAGGATCAGATCTCCGCAGGCCACAGAGGTCCCGGCTCTTTTTCAGCGTTAGGTGTGGACACAATCCCACAAACTTGCTCAAACCTGCAGAAGACTCAGATTGGTGCTGATCAACTAGAAGGAAATGCTTCGCTTTCCTATTTCCCATTTAAGTGAGACCAATTCCAGCGACCAGCAATGCTTTTTGCTCTTCCAGAAGACTACTGCAAATGAGAGCTATGCTTTTTGATAGTGGTTGAGAACATTCCCCCCAAAAGATGGCTCTGTGGGAACCCAGCTTCCTGAGGCCAACCTTGTCTCTATCACTAGGCAAGGACAAGACAGGAAAGTGCTCATCATCACAAAGAAATACAGAGCTGCATTTCCTGTTCTTCCCTTCCACTGCACACTTGTCTTCCCGGGTGGGGAGAGTTGCCTGGTTTGAGACACAACTGGAAGGTAATTTATGTTCTGGCCACTGGAGACCAGCTCTAGCCCAAGCGGTTCTGCAACGCTACACTCATCTCTTGTACTGTGGAATGGAACTTAATCCTTGGCGGGTTTAGGTAGCTTAGCAAAGTGAATGTTCTGCTTCTAACGTGCCCACGGCCCAGCCCATGTGGACACTACACTTAGGTCAATGCTAAGCAGGCTGTAGTTGGTGTTTGGACGTGCTGGCATATGCCTGTAAGCCCTGTGATCAGAGCCCTCAGGAGGCTGAGGCTGGAAGGTTCTGAGAATCTAGAAAGCTAGAATGGGCTGTATGGTCCGGCTATCTCAAGACAAAAGGAGGCTGTCAGTAGTAAGCCTCTATAATAGTGATGATGATGATAATGACTGAACATTTCTGCCAGATTGTTTGCCCTTTTCCTTTTTTTTTTTTTCTCTGAAAATTCAGTTTTTGTCTGGGCATGTTGTCACATACCTGCAATCCCAGCAGTCAGGAGGCTAAGACTGGAAGATTGTTATGTGTTCAAGGCAGACCTGGGCTATATAATCAGTTCCAGTCTAGACTGGACTGGATGTAAGACCCTGTCCCTGTCTCAAAAGATATCATGCTGGGAATGCAGCTCAGTGGTCAAGCACCTGCCTACACCACCTGAAGTCCTAGACTCACTCCTTGGCATGACACAGGCAAGTTTAGGTTACTGGTGTGTGTACACACACTGTCGGGCCTGCAAGTGTGTGCTAGATAAGGTAGTGTATATTTTTGAATGTTTGTCGTTTATTTTTATGTATATGAGCTCTCTATCTGCACATGCATTCCATGCCAGAAGAGGGCACCAGATTTCATTATAGACGGTTGTGAGCCATCATGTGGTTGCTAGGAAGTGAACTCAGGACCTCTGGAAGAGGAGACAGCTCTCTCAACCTCTGAGCCATCTCTCCAGCCCCATTGTGTGTATTTTATATACTAGCTAGCCTGATGTAGATATTAGAGACTGTTGGCATGTATGTGTACCAGGCAACAGATCCCTTCACCCCAGGACCCCTGAGGAGCACACCACCATCTCTGGTTTGGTTAGCCTACAGGGACCAACCAGTGTGGCAGTTAATGAAGACTATACTCTGTTGCTAGACCACAAGGGAGAAAGGAGACTGGGCAGGGCATTCTCTCAAGGCACGACCTGACCTCAAGTTAGCTTATGAGGGCAGGGTAAGCTGAACAATTGTTACAGCCAGCATGCTGGCATCCCTAGTGGCCCTTCACTGTAAACACCCTTCATCCCTGGGTCCAGAAAACAAGACAGCATCCATGGCTATTGCCAACGTCCTTAGTGTCCTGCTGCCCTCCTCAGCTCAAGGGCATGCTGCACTGAATCTCTGATGCAGACAAAGCTAGGATACCACCAGCTCTGAGGCCTCTCTGCTCTTCAGCTAAGCTAAAGAGTTAGGTCTCACACTGGCCTTTCCCCCAGACTTGGGGAGTTCCAAGGGCTTCCACTGGACACCTTCAGGAGCAAATGAGGAGAGAGGATTTTAAATGCCCTGCTGAGTCACAGTGTGAGTGGACTTCCGTTGTCTACACTGCACAGCTGGCTATTTCCAACGTGGACACCAGTCAGGCCTTCAGGACGTCCAGACTTACACTCTGGCCCAGCCACCTTCTCCCCTATCAAGCTGATGCTGGCATGGGAAAACTAAGAGAGCCACTGAGACAGAGAACTCCAAAGACTGCAGAAGGGCATTCAGCTCCAGCACACGGAGGGGCAGCCCCCTCTGACAGCTTAGCTGAGACTCAGAGCACAGTAAACAGTCACAGCTACCAGGAGCCCTCATTTATTCTGTGTTGTGTACATCGTAGGCTATTATTGTGCTGGGGTTCCTGTGCCGGTAATAAGGGCCCCAGTCAGCATGTTCCCGAATGGTCCTCTGTTCCTCGCTGTCAGGGACACCATAGCTGATTAGTGTCTCGTTTGAGGCGTGAGTGATGATGATCTGTGGAATGACACTTTTCTTCTTGATCGACTTTTGTTTTATGTCAGGTCTGTCTAGAGGGAAGAAAACATCCATCCATTTAGTGGGTGTGTGGGAACTCCTTCCACAGTGAAGACAAGGTCTGTCTTAGCTCACAGTAAAGGAAATAGATTTGTGGCCAGCAAGGAAAACAAAACAAGACAGAGTGTCCTGATGATTCTATTCCAACACTCAAACAGATGCCCAGCTCAGAGGGACGTGCTCTGAGTACTGGGTATACTCCTGCAAGAGAGAGACAGAGAAGAGGCTAAATTTCATGAGCGGCATGGTGACAAGTACAGGACACTACATTCTTTTGAGTCTCTGATATAGACAAAGCTAGGATCCCACCAGCCCTTGGGCCTGTCTGTTCTTCAACGTAACAGTTCTCACACTGGCCTTTTCCCCAGACTTGGGGGCTGTCATTTCCTAACTTCCAAATCCAAGGGCTTCCACCGGACACCTTCAGGAGCAAATGAGGAGAGAGGATTTTAAATGCCCTCCTAAGTCACAGTGTGACGGCCTTCCGTTGTCTACACTGCACAGATGTCTATTTCCACACGCACACCAGTAAGCCCTTCAGGATGTCCAGATAACGCTCTTGGCCAGCCGCCTGCCTCCATCAAGCTGTCTATTCAGCTAGAAGAAAGTGAGTCTACCTCTGAGATGAGGGTGCAGATGCTCAGTCTCCAAAGAGTTCCAACTTGTAAAACCTTTCTGTTCAGAACTTTAGGGATCAGAATGTTCTAGAAATAGGTGTTCCTGGTATTGTCCACATTTTCACACACTTGTGAGGAAGTACGTAAACCCTGCAAAGCCACAGGACATTAAATGTTAAATACACAGACAGAGACGCTCCTTGGCGTTACGGATGCTGGATGCTGGATGCTCTAGCTGTGAGAGCCCTGCATGGTCTTCTGCTTCTCTGTACGTAGAACCATCACTTCCGCAGCAACACCAAGTCACATGGCTTGGTTCCTCACTTGAGTCTTCTCTTGAAACCTCATGAGCCCAGATATGATGAAATTGGTGATAACAATGATGGATTTGTTTGTCTGTTTTGAGACAGGTTATCTTTACCTAGCCCTATCTGTCACTGAATTCACTACATAGACCAGACTGGTCTTTAACTCACAGAGGTCCACCTGCCTCTGCCTGCCCAGTGCTGGGATTAAAGTCTTTCATTACCACACCCAGCTAATGGCTTTATATTAAACTTCCAGGTTTTTTTTTTTTAAGGTTTATTTATTTACTATACATACAGTATTCTGACTACATGTACGCCTGCACGCCAGCAGAGGGCACCGGATCTTACTATAGATAGTTGTGAGCCACCACATGGTTGTTGGGAATTGAACTCAGGACCTCTGGAAGAGCAGCCAGAGCTCTTAACCTCTGAGCCATCTCTCCAGCCCCAGCGTTCTTGTTTTGTTTGCTTGTTTGTTACATTTACATAGTCTCTGTGTGTATAGAGGTTCACATATGTTACGATGCAGGTGTGAAGGGGAAAAGACAGCTCGTGGGGTCGGTTCTCTCCTTCCACCAGGCAGACACTGGACACCCAACTCAATCATCAGGCTTGGGAGCATGTGTCTTTTCCCTCTGAGCAAAGACGCAGTGATAGCGTTTGTTGAGTGAACCCATGTGCCAGATGTTTTGAGCCCTAGAAAATGGGAAATGCTGGGCATGGTGGCATAAACCTCTAAGACCATCACTCAGGAGACAGAAGCAAGTGGATCTCTACGATTCAGAACCCAGCCTGGTCTTCATAGTGAGTCCCAGGCCAGCCAAGACTACGAAGTGAGAACCTGTCTCAAAACAACAACAAACAAACAAACAAACAAACAAACAAACACTAAAACACCCGGGAAATAATAGCACACAGCAGCTTCTCACTTATGCTCCTATGACATACGTCTGTTTTACAGAAACAGGCACAGAGAGGTTAAGCCGCCTAAACAAAGCTTCATGTAGCAGAGGGAAATGCTGGTATCCAGGCCCTTCTGGGAGAAATCCTCTACAATTGATGCTTCATTAGAGCCTCATTTTACTTAGTTACTTAATTTTATGAGGTAGTTTCTCATATCTGACCTCAAACTCAGAGTATAGCCAAGGCGACCTTGAACTTCTGATCATCCTGTTGCTACCTCCTGAGAGCTGGGATTACATGAATGTGACTGCATGGCTCCTGTGGTCCTGGGGATCCAACTCAGAGTGTCTTGCATGTTAGAAAACCATCCTACCAACTAAACAAATTTATCTTATCTACTGCCAAGTTACCCATGATCTGTACCAGGCAGCAGAGTGTCTTTCCTTTTCTTTGTATCATTAAGCCAAAAAACTGCCCATAAGGCCACTCAGTAGTTCAACACAAAATGAACTCAGTGGCATTTTTAAAGATCCTCTGTCTCATAATGCTTTGTCAGGGCTTTAAAAAACAACAACAACAAAACATTACAGTTCCTTTGTGTATACAGTTTGCTTTTCAGTTTTGTATATTCAGTGAGACTTCGTTGGAGAGAGAAAGAAAGGGTGTGAATTCGCGTGGATGCACAAGTGGGAAGGATCTGGAAGAAACTGGTGACAGAGAAAACATTATCAGAATATGTTGCATTAATTATTTTTCAGCCGGGTGGTGTTGATGCACACCTTTAATCCCAGCACTCAGGAGGCAGAGGCAGGCGAATCTCTGATTTGATGACAGCCTGCCTGGTCTATAGAGTGAGCTCCAGGGTAGCCAGGGCTACACAGAAAAACCCTGTCTCAAAAATCTCAAAAAGACCAAACAAAACAAACAAAAACCCACAAAAAATACAGGTCGAGCCTACACCTATTTTGGGTTCCCACACTCTGTGTGACTAGCTCCATTCTATGGACGCAGATTGTTTCTGATTTCTATCTTTTTGTTGCATTTGTTCTCTCTCCCTCCCTTCTCTCCCTCCCTCCCGTATGTATGTGAGTGTGTGTGTTACTTCTTTCCATTTGCTGTGACCAATGCCTGACAAGAATTTAGGGAGGGTTTATTTTGTCTCATAGTTTAAGAAGAGATGTGCCTTTAATCCCAGCACTTTAGGAGGCAGAGGCAGGCAGTATCTCTGTGAGTTCCAGGCCAGCCTGGTCTACAAAGCAAGTCTAGGACAGCCAGGGCTACACATAGAGAAACCCTGTCTTAAACAAAAAAAAAAAAAAAAATTAAAGTTGGAAAAAAACAAAAACCGAAGGGAAGGGCTACAGTCCATCAGCATGTGTGGGAGGAATGGCAAACAGAGCCTGAGTCTTACGGAGGTAACCCATCTAGAAACCTCCTCACAGACGGGCTCAGGGGTGGTGTCGGTGACTCTAGCTCCTGACAGGCAGACAATGTTAGCCACAATAGCTTTACTGGGCATATTTCTAGACAAAGAAACTCTGGGTCAAACTGTGTTCAAATTGGGGTAAATATCAAATCAACGGAAGACATGGTGCACACATGTGCCTGTACTCAGCATTCACGAGGCCCCTGTGTTACTACCTAAGAGACCCTTCCTCAAGTAGAGCCCATCCTGTTGGAGGTGGGATGGAGCTCCATGGTAGACTGCAAGTTTACCATGCTTCAGGTCCTGGGCTCAGTCTCCAGCAAACACCAATTTGTTTCTGCCAGAAGGGCAGTGTGTGGGAGCTAAGGAAGTGTAGTTTTTCTTGGTATTGTTTTTCTTTTTTGTGTGTTATTTATTTATTTTATTTTATGTGCAGGGTCTCAGACTACCTGGAACTACCGTTACAGACAGTGACACACTTTTAATCCCAGCACTTGGGAGGCAGGTGGATCTCAGTGAGTTCCAGGCCAGCCTGGTCTACAGAACCTGGGCTGAGAAAAAAAAAAAAAAAAATGCCAGGCACTCAGGAGGCAGAGTCAGGCAGATCTGAGTGAGTGAGCCATGTGGGTGCTGGAAATTGAACCCAGGTCCTCTGGAAGAGCAGACAGCCCTCTTAAGCACTGAGCCATCTCTCCAGCCCCCAGATAGTATTCTTAACCATTAAGAAATCTCTCTACCCCTGTCTTTTTTTTCCCCCTGAGGCAGGGTTTTTTTTTTTTTTTTTGTATAGCCTCCATTTGTCTATGTATCTATGAATCTATCCATTCATCCATCTGTGTATGTATGTATGTATGTATCCATCCATCTAATCCATCTATCTATCTATCTGACTGTCTCTCTGTCTATCTATCTAATCTAATCTATCTATCTATATCTTATCTATTTATCTATCTCATCTATTTTAGTTTTGTAGACAAGGTCTTCCCCATGTGTCCCAGGCTATCTAGAAGTCAAGATTCTCTTGTCTCAGTCTCCTGAATGCTGGGATTAAAGACACCATAATTAACTTAAGGTTCTTGAAACACAGTACCTGCACTATTTAATTTTTGAGACAGGGACTTACTTTGTAGCAATAACTGGCCTAGAACTTGTTTCCATATCCCCGCCTCTTTCTCCTTGTTGGGATGGCAGGCATGGGCCACCCTCCCTCCATGTCCCCCCCACCCTGTCTCTCTGGTGCTGGCATGCATCTCAGAGCCTCATGAATGCTAGGCAATCATCTTATTTTTGAGCCACAATGCCACCCTTTATTACTACTTTTTTACTGCATAACAACTACTTCAAAGTTGGTGGCTTTCATCAGTCCACACTTAGAGTCTCTCAGTCTTAGTACCCCAGGAATTCAGGCACAGCTTGGCTAGGATTCTCCTCAGGGCCTGGGGCTACAGTCTTGCATACAGATTGGATTAAGGTCAGGGTTTCTTCTTGGCTCAGTTACTGAAGTCCTATTTCCCCAACAGCTGTGGTCAGAGCTTGTTGCAGCTTCCAGAAACCTACAACCTCTGCCTCTGATTTTTGTTTGTTTGTTTGTTTGTTTTTGGTCTGGCTTCAAACTCAGGGGGATCTCCCTGTGTTAGCATCTAGAATTCTGGAAGTACAGGTGTGTACTACCACACCTGACTTGCCTGTAACTGTTTAGAAACATCTAAAATTTTATTTTTTGTGCACGCGTGCTTGGG